CGGGCCACAGCAGAGAGCTGGCCTGGAAGAGGGGCAACCAGGACAGAATCCGGTGCCCTGACCGGGACTAGAACCCGGTGTGCCGGCGTCGCAAGGCGGAGGATTAGCCTATTTAGCCGCGGCGCCGGCCTGATTCACTTCTCAAATGGCTGGTGCTAGGCCAGCTGAAGCCAGGAGCCTGGAACTCCAACTGGGTCTCCCACGTCGTGGCAGGGGCCCAAGCACTCAAGCCATCTTCTGCTGCTTTCCCAGGCACGTTAGCAGGGGGATGGACAAGATGAACAGCTGGGACTCAAACAGGCGCTCTATGGGATGCCAGCATCACAGGCAGCTCCTTAATCTGCTGTGCCATGGTGCCAGCCCCTTTTATTATTTTTAAATTGACAAATAATACTTATGTATATTTATACAGTTCTTTTTAATAACATGATAATGAGATGGGATCATAACACTATGCAACTTTAAGAAGATAATGGAAACAGGAAAACCATATCATAATCTTTTATCTGATCACCAATTGCAATGTGTACATTTCTTTTTCATATTGAATAATTACCAAAGAAAAAGTGAAACCAGTTTTTTTCATCATTACATTTTTAGATGTGGGAAATCATAATCGAAATAGAAGGGCAGAAAGAGAAAGCATCGAGGGAGGGCAGTAAGAGTGGTTTCTTGATTCATGTTACTTTCCAAAGGAGTACATGAAAATGGAAATCAAAGCCTTTATGAACAGCATTCTATTGCTAGCAATATTTATCTTGCATTTCTTTAAGTTTATTTAGTTAGTTTTATTTACCTGAAAAGGAGCAAGAGAGATCTTCCATATGGCAGATCACTCCCCAAGTGGCTGCAATGACCAGGGCTGAGCCAGGCTGAAGTCAGTAGTTTGGAACTCCATCTGGTCACCCACATGAGTGACAGAGACCCGAGCACTTGAGCTGTCACCTGCTGCCTCCCAGGGTGTGCACCAGCAGGAAACCAGATAGGAAGCAAATGCAGGACTCCATCCATCCTCATAACTCGATATGGGATGCAGGTGTCTGAAGCAGAGGCCACACCCACAGCAACAGGACACCTGCTCCTATTTTGCATTTTAAAACGATGCTGTTCTTCCTTCATGCAAGCATTCTGACTTCCATGAGCTCCTTCCTCACTTTTTTATGATTGGCCACAATTCTCTCTTGGTTGTAATCCAAGATTCTCTTGGAAACTAAACAATCAAACCCAGTTTGCAAAGTGCATTACCCATAGCCAATGCACCCTAAAGAGTATCCTGGAACAGCAGAGAAGGTAGAGGCACTCAAAGAGAGCCAAACACCAGATCTGCGTCCTCAGAGTGCTGAAACTTGGCACCTTCCAAGGTCTCTGAGGTTGGGCTGTATAGCCACTGTTATTTTTCTAGGGGATACAAAATTAAATAATAATGAAGATGAGAATACAAGTATTGAATGCTCAGGATACAGGCTGCCTCGTGAGCAGCCAGAACCTGAGCTTATCCCAGAATTTCCAAAGCTCCTGAAGCTCACACCTGGGCTTCCCTTGAGAACACCACCAACGATCACTCTGGGCTGGATTCCTTCTCATCTTTCCTGAATTGCTTTCCGTTTCTGACCAGATGCACAGACATGGGATGATCCAATGAGAACATGGCTACAAAGAATCTCAGTACACGGAAGACCTTTCATAAATGCAGCTTAATCTATGCTCTTTCCCCTGAAGGAGGGGAAACATGAGTTATCTCTCACTTCCACAAACAACAGATAAAAAAAAGGTCAGTTACATTTCTTAGAGAGATAGAGTCAGGTTAAATAAAGAGCCGTTACTCTGACACTAGGACTGATGAAACAACCAAAAGGCAGGTTATGGATGATTTGAAAAAATAAAGCCAGCTGGTAACCTGCTTACAAGGTGACAAGAAGGACTGTGTACGAGGCAGTAACACAGGTTCAGAGTCTCATTGTGTCAAGAGCACAGAAGGGCCAACTGTGCTACTATTGAAAGAAGAATGAACAGGCAATTTTAAAGGGATTTCCAGGGATCCATGTTGAGATGCAGCAGTTAAGATGCTTGTGACACTGGCATCCCATATGAGTGCTGGAGTTCAAATCCCAGCTGCTCCACTTCTGACACAGCTCCCTGCTAATGTTCCCAGGAAAGCAGCAAAAGATGGCCCGAATACTTGGGCCCCTGCCACCCATGTGGGAGACCTGCTGGAGCTCCTGGATCCTGACATCTGGTTTCAGTCTGCCCCAGCCTTTGCTATTGCAGCCATTTAGGGAGTGAATCAGTGGATGGAAGTGTCCTCTCTCTCTCTCTCAAACTCTCTTCTATCTATCCCCCCGTCTCTGTATCTCTGCTTTTCAAGTAAATAAATGTTAAGAAAACTTTTTTAAAAATGGATTTCCTGGAGAGCCAGTACTGTGGCATAGTGGCTAAAACCCCCGCCTGCAGTGCTGGCATCCCATATGGGTGCCGGTTCAAGTCCCAGCTGCTCCCCTTCCAATCTAGTTCTCTACTATGGCCTAGGAAAGCAGTAGAAGATGCCTCAAGTCCTTGGGCCCCTCACCCACATGGGAAGACCCAGAGGAAGCTCCTGGCTCCTGGCCCAGGAGATCAGCCCAGCTCTGACCATTGAAGCCAATTGGGGAGTGAACCAGCAGATGGAAGACCTCTCTCTCTCTCTCTCTCTCTCTCTGTGTGTGTCTCTCTGCCTCTCCTCTCTGTGTAATTCTGACTTTCAAATAAATAAATAAATCTTTTTTTAAAAAATGGATTTCCAGTATAAGTATAGTCAAGATCAAACAAAATTCAAATATCTAAAAACACAAAGAAGAAAATATCATGGATAATAATTAGGTGGCAATTTGACTCAGATTTGTCATATACTGAGACTTGATTTAAGGATAGAAAGATTGATTTCTTTCAAAGTCTTAAAAATAATTTGACACGACTTACCTTAGTTACTTAATTGTTCTAATATTATTATACTCTCCAACAGATTTAGTCCAGCAACTATGAATCACAAATATCTACTTTCTTTGTTTAGTTGCTAATGTTCTGTGTGAATCTAAGGTTATCATGTAAGTAGTATGTGATAACTGCTTCCCCAGGTACCCATTTCAAAATGACATTTGTATATAGAAGGCTTCATTTTCATGGTTGGCATTAAAAAAACACTGCCTTTCTGCTTAACCTCCTGCGTCAGCGTTGAAGGCACCTCTTCTATTCCCCTTTTCGCCTGGATTGTGATCTCTTAGGCACAGAGATTGTGCACTGTGTATTTATTGGAAGTTCCTGAGACAGTGTCTGAAGCATAGTGCGAGCTCAATACATTGCATGAATCGAATAAATAATGAATGGTGCTGTATTGGCTCCCATCTAAAGCCAGGATTCAGAGAAGTTTAATAACCAATGCAGCAGTGTAGTCGAAAGCTGAATTATTAAGAGAAGAAGCTGACAGAGACCATTTTCAGTCTCCATAAGGAGGAACTTTCTGGCATCTTAACAGCCTGACTGGCAATTTCCCAGTTCATAAGATAACAATCAAGTCAGATATCCAGAGAGTTTGGGGGTCAGTGTAGCCTAGTGTGGCCTTTTACAGGTGCAAGTGATTTTTATTAAAAAAAAAAAAAAAAAAAGAACACTGACTCTTTCCAGAATAACCTGATTTCCACAGACTTAAATAAAGGTATTCATTCTTTCAGAGTTTCCAGTTACTTCTCTCTCTCCAGGCTGTGAAGTCAGTTCCCATCTCTCTGAATGCCCCACTGCTGGTGGTAATGATCCTGTCCATGTGACACCCTTTATTTTTATTTTATTTTATTATTTTTTTTTGGTCTCACTGCTGTGAGTGAGTGACAAGCGAAGGATATTCATTTTAGCTTGAAAATGTCAGACATGCACTTTAAGAGATAAATTTTTTGCAGCTTTTAATGAGCTGGTGTTTCTGAAAGAAATACTCATCTCTGATGCAGATACTGTACAGGTGACAACTGATATTTAATAAGCGATGGCTCTTGTATTAGTCGCAGTTCGCTAAAGAAAATGTCTCAGATTGCTTTTGAAAAACTCTCAGCATCAGTAGCCCAAAGGCAAGATATGACCTTTTTATTACATAATGAGAATCATTTATTATCTTACAATGTATCTTAAAGTCACAGACAAAATGCCACTTTGATAATTGCTTTCAATTAGCTCTGAGCATAGCATATATTCATAAAATGTCTTCCCTAATTTAGAGTTGAATTAGAGAAAATTGCAGGCATAATCTACTTTAAGGTTGTCTCATTTAAGGTGATTCGTGGTTTTATATCAAAGAAATCAAAACGAGTAGTTTTAGAACAGTCTCTCCAAGTGTTTTAAGCAGGCTTTTCAATATTTGATTCTATTCTATTACCAATTAATTAACAAATTAAAAGACGAGTTCATCATCTCTGACCTTTTATGCCTGTTAGCTTCTGACTTTCATCGGTAATGATTGTTTTTTCTTTTTTCTTTTCTTTTTTTTGAAATGAAGCCTTGCACTTCGTGTGGAAAGGGGGAAACAATCTGATTAGCAAATGAATAGGATTTGCATTGGTACCAATCACATCCTCCTTTTGGGGTGTCCCTGGGACAGAGACTGGGCTGGTGGATGGGGGCTGCCCTGTGACAGTCAGGACTCATCCTTTAGAATCATGCGATCTGATTCGGCAGCTCTCTGATTTGACTATAAGTGAAGCTAGGGTAAATATGGTGCTTAAAATTCCTTTGGCTAAGTTTTATTTTTCATCAGCATTCTGAGATTTGGAATATGATGTGAGTGCATATCCACAGCTCCCCTTTTAATATTTTTGACATAAGAGACATTGTGAAAGCCCATCTTACACTTGTGGTGTTTCAATAACTCATGAACCATGATTAGCCTGGTAAGAGATTGTCAGAAACTGGCATTGTGTCTGGAGATTACTCTACCCTCTTTCTCTCTCTCTTTCTCTCTCTCCTTCTCCTTTTTTCCCCAGATAAAAATTACACACAAGAACCAAGCCCCAATGCTGATGGGCCCCCTTCCAAAAACTGGGTTATTCTGCTCCCTCGTCAAGAGAACAAGAAACCGAAGCAAAGAATAATCCTGTATCATCTCCTCCTTAGAAATGCAATTAGCATAATTGGGCCATGGAACACGTGTGCTGGAATCTTTGAACCCTTTCAAGTCTCCTGTTCATGCAAAAACCATGGAGTTGGTTTAACAGGTTTTGTTTTTTTTTTTTCTACCGAGCTAATGTGAAACTCAGCTAATAGAACATTTATTGTCTCAGTTGTCACAGGCATCTTTGCATGAAGAAATACATGAAGTAATACTGCCTATTTTTGTTGCATGCATCCCCATAAATTTTTATGTTTCCTGGTCATGTCTTCTCCAATTTCCATTTACTAACCCATGAGAAAAATCTAATTCCAATGATGAATAAGCACTGTCAGTAATGCTACAATGGTCATAATTGTAGGTTGCTTTGCTTTTCCCTGTTAGAATCAGCGTATTAATGATCTTTGACCCTTGACAGAAGGGAAACTTTTAACTCAACAATTTTATGAAATAGTTGTCTACAATACCTTGCTGTATCTAAATACCTTTTCCTCAACATCTTAACTCCTCTGAGTGGAAATTAAAATGTCAGGTATAAAGTGTTCTTGTGATGAAAAATAGAAAGCACTTTTTGTTTAGCTTGTTTTTAACTCCAGAAATAAGTGAAAACTTGTTACTTGGCAGTGAAGTGTGGTAATATGGTAAGCCTTCTTCCTTTCTGCATGAGACTCTACAAGAATTCATAACCACAACAGTAACCAAATAGATGTTTTAAACTATGTGCCTAATTAATGTATTTCCCACCAAAGAGTCAGAAAAAGATGCTTGAGAGAAATGGGTGGATGCATAGTTAATTAAGCATCGTGGAGATGTGTGGTACTACGATTAATTACGCGATGACCAAATAGCTGGAAGAGATTTGCCCATGAATTAGGTTTAAATTCTCAGTTTCCACATAAAATAGGCTATACAACACAATCAAAGCTCATAGCTGATTTCTTGCTTTTTTTGGTCACTTATAAATATCCATGTCTGTAATTTTTCATGGCTCTGTTAAGTGTACTTGAAGAAAGTGAACAATTGCATCCGTTCCTCTCTAGTACCTTTAAGAAGAACAATGAGTTCTCCGAAGCAGCTCATGCATGTGATATGTGCCACCCCCTCACCTACTGCCTTCCTCAATCTGTGACACTACAAATGTTCATTTGCATATAATGGCTTGGCTGGGTGTCAAAGGTGTCCATGGCATGGGTGGAAGCTGGAAGCACTGATTGTTCAAACAAGTCATGGAATGGTACTTTGCTCAGTGTTTCATCGAGACTATGCCATAAAATGAAAAGTCCCTGTGCAGCCGTGGTATTGTTCACTCGTACTGACCTGCATCTCATCATTGCATGTTTTATGTTTTCGAACATATCACAAGGAAAACGAGTGCTTGAAATGCATGATTTATTGGTTTTTCTCTCCACTCTGCATTAAAGTGCCAATGATTTATCAGTTCTATTTTTCTATGGATTCATTCATCTTTGAATAACAAATAGCATTTCGTGATTCTGTTGAACACAGCCTTGCGCATGGATTTATGGATTTCAAGTGAAATTGCTATAATTTTAGTTCTTTGGTTTGAAAACTCAACTGAATGCTGTTATATTAAATAGCTACTCTCAAGCAATGTGCTATAATAGATTATGTATAAAGCGTATTCTCTTAGTGTTCCCAGAACATTGGACAGTAAATATCAATCAACAATAAGTTTAATTGCTTTAAAAATAAAAACATTTGAATAGAATTGGGACATAATTTAGCATTCCCAGAAAAATCATGAACACAATTGCAAATTTAGTACAGCAACCACTTGCCCTGGTATAATAACAAAAGTACACCCAAAGAAACCTCAAAACAGCAACAAATGCATTCCTAACATAATGTCACATAACACACACACACACACACACACTGATTTTGTGTGTCTATGGTTACAGGTAACAAATATTTTCACATGAATTGACAAAACTTTCCACCATAGGCAGGCAGACTTTGTGTCGAAAACATTTTGCAGCCATAAATTATTTTATATTCGGTACAGCATGCAATGACTTCTTTTGGCTACCTTTTATGGTACATAGCTGGAAGACAGCAACAGCCCGTGCCTCATTCTGAGCGATCTGTGGAGTGCAAAGCCATTGGACAGACAGTGAGATGAGGCCAGTGACACAACCTGCCCCCCGAAATTCCAGCTCTGAAATCATACAAGGCAGCTGCCCTGCAGTGTGAACAGATAACCATACTTAGCACCGAGGTAGTTACTCACACTCACCATCACATGGATTCATCGGTACCGATAACCAATGTCCACAGATGACTCAACCTTGACTTTGCCCAACTCATTTTCTACAGATACTGATGTGCAGTGCCCTTCAGGCCCACTACTGCTGGGGTCTGGAAAGTTATCTTTAAAACTTTACTTTGATGCTTTTGAAGTCACTGAAGATGTTTTCTCCATTTTTTATGACGGCTTCGTGTGAAGAATATATATTTTCAGGAAAATTCTAAACTGAGAGATCTATGGCATATTAAAATATGGAAGAATGAATGTTAGCTTTATGAAATGGAAACTTCTCTTCTATGTGTGTGGATGTTTGTGTTGCCGAGTCAAACTCTTTTTAAATGCAGTAGACACGACAGAATAAATTTTCAGTGGATAAAGTTCCTTGATAAAACTGACACTGGACTTGACGGAGGTCAGAGGAAGGTGGAAAGAGACAGCGGCGCTCTGCTAAACACTGCCAAAAACTGAACTGGTAAACAGAGAGATTCCAGAACCTACCTGCATATCCACGCATCTAAGAAATAGGAATGATGGTATCTATGTAGACCCTGAAATTTTCAAGTACAGAAATGTATTTTTGTAATCCATGTGTATACCATGTGCATTTAATGTGAAAGGTACTGACTGTGATGGAAGGCAATAATGCCTTGCAGGAAGTGAAAAAAAAAAATGACACTGTAAAGCACTTTTCAGACTGCTTGTGTGCTCATGGCCAGAGGCTGAGAGATCTCACGTGGACAGGGACAGCCCATTGCAGGCAGGGATTTAAATCCGTGAACGGGAAGGGACCACATACCTGTTTCTGTGCTCTGTCTTTTTCTTTCTGTAGGGGCCTGGGAAGCAACTGTGATGATGACGAAGGCGTTTTCTTTGAATCTCTGACTGTGTCCCCTATTCCTTAGATGGTTCCATTCCTTTTTGTGTCAACATGAATTTGTCCTCTACTCATTGTGAAAAAAGAGAATGGACTTTTCATGGTACATGTAATCCCCAAAGAACTACAGATAACAGAATTTATTCTAGATAAAAAGACCAAACCCTTGTAACACACATGGAGGCTGTAAAATACCTGCAAAGGAGCTTTCATTTTGTGAAAGGTAGAAATCGCCCCCTGAAGGTCCCGATTAAATTTTACTGTATTTAAATAAAGTTTGAATGAACTCAACATTTGAAAGATTCTAAACATGCCTATTGTGTTGAAAACCATGGAATTCATTGAATTATGGTATCTTCACTATTTTCTCAGAAAGTATTATATACAATATCCTGCCTTTTGGAATAAAAATGTTAACCACTCACTTCAGCGTTAGTCCTTACTACCATTTTGGCCAGAACTGACTGGAAATGAGCCCTTCACAAAGCCAGCCAGCCAGCGCACCTGTATGGGGAGGTTCTGGGCCAGCCAGCTGCCTTAATACAGGGGGGAAGAGTCTTCGTGTTAGGGGACCACATCCTGTATCTTCCAGAACTGAGCCATTGTACTTTGGGCTTCTTTGTGTCCCAAGTTGCTGTTGTGAATGTATTCTGCCAATGTTATAGATTGCAGGAAAGCCACCCAACCTCCTGATAGCTTGAGGGGTGCTGGAATTGGATTTTCTGGTTGTATATGGTGTTAACAATTTCAACAAATATCTCCTGGGCATTTTATTGTGTAAAAGATACTTGGCAAAGGTCTACAATGATTTTTTTTAAAAAGTTTTTTAAAGGATAAAATCTCTTCTCTAATCAACTTTGCACCCAATGGAAGAATTGAGATGAGATCTAAACAGGACTCAATCAGTGAAGGGCCTCCCAACCTGCTATGTGTCCATCTCTTGGCCTATGTCTCCAGCTCCAGCTCCAAAAACCAAGTATGAGCAAGGAGCACCAGACACTAACCCAAAAGTCCCTCTCCTGACCCATTAAGGAGTTCTCCAACCTGCACACATGTCCAGAATAGCCCAGGACAGCCAATATGTGGCCTTTCTGGGGTGGTGGCACTGAGCAGCAGTCATTTTGAGGATGCACCTGCACGGAAGGAGGAGCCAGCTGCAAATCTAAGTGTCTTGTGCCCAGGATGGGTGCAGATCAAAATGTTGTGCACCCAAGTGTCACAGCCACGCCTCCCCACCCAGTAAAAATGCCTGCACAGCTTCATTCATTGATCGAGCCTCAGAACCTCTTCCCAACGTGATGGAGCAGAAGGCCCCTGTAAACCTCTCAGGTTGCACATTAGCTTCTTGTCAACTTCTATTTGCAAGTGAGCCAGAGAACCTGGGGTCAGTCACAGAATTCAGTAAATGGTCACAAGACATGACAGGATAACAAGGTAAGCAAAAGGTGATCCAAGTCCAACTCAGGAAAAGACGATTTGGTGAAGGGATACCAAAAGGCCTCCACTGGCAGGAGAGGGACAAGTGGCTTCTTCCATTAGCTGTCACATTCCACCTGGGCATACCCAATTCAGCACCTGGGTGTGTGTGATGACCAAATTAGCACAACTCAGATTTCCATCTCCTCAATGGCTTTGGAAAAGGTAGAACTTTACAGGCAGACAGAAGCAGAGCTAAGGGAATTCAGAGTAAGAGAGCATGGGACACAGCTCATCCTGTAGCTTAATCACCTCATTTCATTAACAACATGCATGATTTTGAGGCCGGCATTGTGCAACAGCCGTATAAGCTGCACCTCACAGTGCCAGCATCCCATATGGGAATGCTGGTTCGACTCCCAGCTGCTCCACTTCCAATCCAGTTCCCTGCTAATGCACCTGGAAGGGCAGCAGAAGATGGTCAAAGTACCTGTGCCCCTGCCACCCAAGTGGGCGACATGGATGGAGTTCCTGGCTCCTGGTTTTGACCCAGAGAAGCCCCAGCTATTGTGATCATTTGAGGGGTGAACCAGCACGTGAAAGATCTCTTTTTCTCTGTCTCTCACTCTCTCTGTGTCACTCTGCCTTTAAAACAAATTTAAAAAAATGTTTTTAAAAAAATGATTTGGGAATTTATAAATGGAGCTTTGGGATAATGCTTCCACTTCCAAATATTAGGGGAGAAAAGGAGCAAGAGAAGGGAGGAAAAGAAAGAGAAAGGCAGAAGAACAAGGAAGTGAGGGAGGGAAGGTGAGAGAACAAAGTCAACCCTAGGAGAATCAGACTGCTGCAAGGGTTAACGTCATATTCTCAAAGAGACAGCATGAGCAGATAAACCATTCTCAGGTATTCTGAAAGAGACATCTGGCCCCTCGGCATTTCTGGGGAGTTCTAACTACCTTGCAAGGTATAAATATAACTTTATGAACTTTCTAAAGCTTATGAGAACTAAAGTAACAAGGAACAATCACTGTAACTGTGTTCGTGCTAAATGTATAGCACATTAAGAATCACAAAGAAAAGCACAAGATTCTACAAGTCAAAAATGAATTACAGAATGTTAAATCGTTCTGACAACCAACTGTTTGTTGACAGAGTCAAAAAGAAGTCTGAAACACTCTCTACTCCATTTTTTGTATGCAAACATTTATTCCCTGAAAGCAGTCATTCTCAGAAAAAGTATTTCTAATTAAAATTGTATTATTAATCATAATAGCTCTGGGGCCCGGTGCTGTGGCTCACTTGGCTAATCCTCCACTTGTGGCGCCAGCATCCCATATGGGCACTGGGTTCTAGTCCTGGCTGTTCCTCTTCCAGTCCAGCTCTCTGCTGTGGCCCGGAAGGGCAGTGGAGGATGGCCCAAGTGCTTGGGCCCTGCACCCGCATGGGAAACCAGGAGGAAGCACCTGGCTCCTGGCTTCGGATCAGCATAGCTCTGGCCGTAGCGGCCATTGGGGGGTGAACCAACGGAAGGAAGCCCTTTCTCTCTGTCTCTCTCTCTCACTAACTCTATCTGTCAAATAAAAATAAATAAATAAAAATTTAAAAATCATAATAGCTCTTAAATTAGTAGGGATTTCTTTGTAGCATGTTGCTAAAAAAATTGAGAAAGTGCATTTGAATTGAAAGAAGGCTGCCCAGTGTGTGTACCTTTCCAATGTTTTTACTGCTATCGTCACACTCTTAAGATTCTGCACCATCAAGTGGTACTCAGATGCTTCTTTAACCTTTCTCACCACTCAAAAATGTGAGATAAAAACTCTTTACAACCCAACAAAATATCCTATTAACATTCTGTTAAAGGCTGAAGAACATTCCATGGAAGGGCTACCGTAGCACTCCCAGCTTGTAGTTGAAGAGCTGAATCATAAGGGCTCCAGGGCCACAGCTGCACGCATCTCTTGAAAATGCTACTTGTTGCTTTGTGACCTTAGGCAAGTTTTCAAGGTCAGTTTTCTCCCTCAGACATACTTCCAGCGAACTTCATTGATTTAATAATTTACAGCAGTGCCTGGCACAAAGCTATTGATAAGCCATGCAACAGAATACTTGATTGTGTTCTGCAGAAACAGGTGACAGATGGCTGGTCATTTTGTCTGTTAGAAAAATCATTGTCAAGCTCAGGTTCAACATAACTTGTCATTGTATGTTGCACTTACATAGCATGACAATTCTCCTAACCTAATTCCCCCGTGGAGTTACCCAAACATTGGCAGGTATGCCAGAACGGCATCCTACAAACTACACTGTAGGCAATGCCATTAAGCCACCAAGAAGGCTCTACCACTGGATGACTTGACAGCATTTTGAAGCCTAAGATAATATAATGTCCTCATGAGATACATCACCAAATCCACTGCCACCCAAGATCCATTCTGAATACAGATCTTACCTCTTGCATTCATTAGGCCTGCCTCTCTTCAGTGAACCCCAGGACATACACTAATTGTTTAGTGCTCTTGCTTTTCATACCCTAAAGACCCAGACCATAGGCATGCTTTTGCCAGTCCGTCCTCTCCATAGAGTTCCTGTTATTCTTGGTGGCCTCTGTGGGTGGGAGTGGGGGAGGACTATGGGGAGTAGAGCCACCATCCACAGTCCATTGTACCTCCGTGTCTCCCCATTGTGGTACCTGTCCTGCTTGTGTCAAGTCAGATGCCAACCTTGGGGTCAGAGCACTTAGCCTGCCAGCTAGCACTTCTCCAGAGTTATTCTCTCCAGGGTTACCATGGATACTGTAAAACCCACGGACTTCATGAACTCCAGACCGTGGGAAAGACAAGAGAGGCTGGAAGAGTAGCTGTATGGGCAGTGATGAGAAGCCACTGTGGCCTACGGAGGGCCACTGGAAGAGTGCTGCAATGGGTGCAGGGGGCTAGTGGGACATCATGGGATTGGGGTAGCCCTCCTGATTGTCCCCCCATTCGTTGTTGTTGAGTCACCTCACCAGTGAAGTGAGTGAGTTTGTTAAAACTCACCAGAAGCTTACTCATCAGAGCCATTAGCAATGCTAATTGTGCTAGTCAAAGAAGCAGCTGATGCTTGCTCCCTCTCTGCCCAGGCATGATTCTGTACCTAAATTAACTCAGTGTGTGTATCTTTCCAATGTTCTGTCATTATCACAGCACCTGCACTGGAAAATTGACACATTTAAAACTTCCATGCCAAGAGTCAGAATTGGAATCCAGGGACACAACACCACCCTTCTCACCTGTTCTGAAGAATTAGATTTTATCTGGTTAAGTGTGACATGTTAAGAAACTATAGAATGAGTAGAAAAAAATTTATTCAATTGTCACTATTACTGCAGAAGCCACAAGAAGTTTTGAGACTATGAACAGTATCAATGATGTGAGGAGAACATTAGTGAAACTCAAAGTCACCTAATGACTATCAATTTCGTAGGAAAGTGGTTAGTAGAGTTTGATATTGTTCCTTATGTCAAAACACAACTGAACGGTAAATGACATTCATCTAGTGACAGCCACATAAATGAAAATCACATCAGCAACTTAAAAAACTCAACAGGTTGAAAATCATTCAAGTAATCTGGTGGATCACCTGCACTAAAAGGTGTATCATTTGAGAGATGATAGACTGTTAGATGATAGAGATGGATGATAGAGATGATGGATGATTGATAGGCAGATGATAGAAATGATATTATTGGTAGATATATAAATAAATTATGGATACATAGATCAATACATAGAGATCTCATTTAGAGAATGAAGGGAATTTTTAAATACTTGACTCATAGATGCATGTACATTTTTATAGAGACTAATGAATATTTCTAATTTTGGCCATGGTTCATTGGCTTCTCTTTTTCCAGCTTTGACCTAAATAATGCTGTTTTTGTCACACCATGCCCAACCCTCTCTTATTCTTAATATATGTTTCTTTTATTGACTGGATAAATTCAGCCACATCCATGGATTTAACGTACTTGCAAATGTAGGACCTCCCAGTCTATAACTTTATTTGACCTTCTAGGAAATCATCCTATATTCTTACTGCCTATTTCCACATTTTTACTCCAGGATCCCACAGACATATTAAACCAAAAGTCTCCAAAATAAAACTCACCTCACCTCCTAAGGATAGCATGTTCCACTTCCTGTGTAACTTTCCCAGAGAGTTTCACCAGTGTGCACTTACTGCCTTAAATCAGAATCCCAGGAAAGATCCTTAGCTACTTCTGCTTCCAGATGGCCACTCCCATCCATGCGAACTAAGTATTCAGATATTTATCAAGACTGTTCCTTCCTGAACAGCCACCATCTTTGTCCACATCTGCATTCTTTCTTGCCTACTTTATTGGGATAATCAGGGGTGGATCCTGGTTTCTGAATCCTGAAACTCAACCAATTTAGTGACATCTCACTAAGAAAAAGAATAGAAAACTACAAAACAAAACATTATTTCAGAACGGACCTAATTGCTTTATCTGTTTCCATATTGTTTATTTTTGACTACACACTCTCTGAACCTCTCTTCATAGACAACAGTTTTACAATATTTTTCTACAAAGCAAATGAAACATAATGCAGTCTTTCCACTAGGATGGTTGAACAAGTTTTTTGTTTTTTTTTGTTTGTTTTTTGTTTTTTTATTCATAGTTTAAAAATGTACTTCTCAGGGCCGGTGCTGTGGCATGGTGGGTAAAGCCACCACCTGCAGTGCCAGCATCCCAGCTGTTCCTCTTCCGATCCAGCTCTCTACTGTGGCCTGGGATAGCAGTAGAAGATGGCCCAAGTCCTTGAGCCCCTGCACCCATGTGGGAGACCCGGAAGAAGCTCTTGGCTCCTGGCACAGCTCCAGCCATTGTGGCTATCTGGAGAGTGAACCAGCAGATGGAAGACCTCTCTCTCTCTCTCTCTCTCTCTCTCTCTCTCTCTCTCTCTCTCTCCCCCTCTCCCTCTCCCTCTCCCTCTCTCCCTATCTTTCTCTCTGTGTGTAATTCTTTCAAGTAAAATAAATAAATCTTTTTTAAAAATGTGCTTCTGCTCCCTTACTTCTGTTGGTAATTTCATGATGGTATTCTCTCTAGGGTCTCTACTCCCAGTGGTGTCTCAGAATTCCAGCCCTCTGAGCCAGAGCCATCATCCACCACAACAGGTCTTCACAAAGTGAGGACCAAGGTCAGAATGGCCACCAGCCATGGAATACAGCAGCATCCCTTTGAGGTTTTCATACTTGAAGCCATGATTGATGTAGATGTTCACCAATGCCACTCAGTGCCAGCTACACTACTCAGTGCCAACTACACCACCCAGGGTCCCCTACATTACTCAGTGCCAGCTACACTACTCATGGTCCCCTACGCTACTCAGGGTCCCCTACACTACCCAGGGTCCCCTAAGCTACTCAGTGCCAGCTACACTACTCATGGTCCTCTATACTACTCAGGGTATCCTATACTACCCAGGGTCCCCTACACTACTCAGTCTCCTAACTACTTGTGGTCCCCTATACTACTTAAGGTCCTCTACACCACCCAGGGTGCCCTACACTATCCAGGGTCTCCTACACTATCCAGGGTCTCCTACACTACTCGGGGACATCTCCTGACTAGACAAAAGACCTCGCCCCAAGAAAATGAAGAGATTTTATAGGGATCACAGTGTGTCCCATACCCATAGGTAACCTCATGAGATACTAGACTCTGGCATCAATACCAAATCACTCTACAAAGTTACATGTCTCAAGCACTCAGCCACTGATCAGGTAGGCATATCCTGCCTTAACTGATCATGTCAATAATATTCCTCAACTTTCACATCTCCCAAATGGTTGATGTGGTAATGTTTGTTAACTGGTTGGGAACCATGACTGCTATACAAGAGACATAGACTAAAACAAAGCTGATCCCTAAGTTACAGAAACTATATAGAAGAATTGATCAATGGATATGTTCTCCCTATATAAGTTCCCAACACCCAGACCTTGATGGCCCCTCCCTTGGGGACCCCACCTGGCAAGCAGGAGTCTCAGTTTCTCAATAAAATCCACTTACACTTTCTTTGCTCACCCATCTTTATTGTCATAATTCTACAAAGAACTGACTCCAGATTCATGTAACAGTTACTTGTCTGATTCTCTCATTAAACTGGGGAATCACTTGAGAGTCAGTCCTGGTTCCTATTCACTGCTATTTCTTTCAGGCCATCCCATGTTAGATATACAAAAATCTACCAATAAATGAACAACAGCCAGCCACCAAAAACATCTCCCAAATTACAGTGAAATGTGCTGTTTGTTGTAGAAGAAAGTATATCAAGAGAAAAATAAACAGTCCAGATACAGTAAACCATCTTACATGTATATGAGAACCAAATAGAAGCATTTTATTCTCCCTTATGTACTTTGGCCAAAGAAATTTACTCTTGATTCTCATGTCCTGCTTACCTGTTGTCACTTTTGTGTGTACAACTGTCTGACATTTCCAACTTTTCAGTTAATTCAGTATCCAATCCTGGCACACTTCAGATCACAGTGGCTCCTGATGGGCCAGTTAGGGGTCTGCACACCAGGTGGGAATGATCATTGTATACAGCCCTATTTGATTCTCCAAGATTTGTTGGGGAGGCAGTGGACAGAAGAGGGGACCCCTGCAAAAAAAGGTCCACATCCTAATCTTAGGAACCTGTGAATATGTTTTGTTACATGGCACATGGAATTAAGAATGCTAATCATATGACTATGATAAAGAGATGACCCTGGATTGCACAGGTCATAATCTCAAAGTAATCCCAAGTGTCCTTCAAAATGAAGGAGCTCAGGATGGGAGAAATTTGAAGATACCGCATGGCTGGCTTTGAAGAGGGCAGGGGTAAGACCACAACCAAGGAAGGTATGTGGCCTCCAGATACAGCTGAAGGCAAGGCACTCCCTCCCTAGAGCATCTAGGAAGAGAGAGCTCTCCACACCTTAACCATGACTCAATGAGACCCTTGCTGGACTTTGTAAAAATAATAAATGTGTATTATGTTAGCCACGAAATTAGTGGCAGCCATTGGAAGGAAACTAAGACCTGCAGATTCAGAATTGTTGCTCTAGACAAGCAGATGACACACTGATGCCTTTGGAAACATTACCTCACCTAATCCTTAAAACAGTGGATGGTTTAATCCTCACTTAAGGCATTTGGATTGCTAGAACCCAGTATGTATAGCCTACCTTAGACCTTAATATAGATAAATTTTCTAGAGAGAAATTTTATTGTCTAGTTCTTAGCTGTTTATTGATAGCATTCTAATAGGGAAAAACAAAAAAAAAATAATTAAATGTGTCTGTTGTCATAAGACCCAATTCACTGAAGACAAGTATCATTATTTTTTAGGGTATCCATTTAATTCCAGTTTTAGTTACTGGGAAGTTCACCATCTGATAATGTTTTTTTTCTCCAATCTTGAGACATTCAAGATTCTTGTTCTGTCTCTAGTTATAAGAAAATAATCAGGCCAGCGCTACGGCTCAATAGGCTAATCCTCCACCTGCGGTTCTGGTCCCGGTTGGGGCACCGGATTCTGTCCCTGTTGCTCCTTTTTGCAGTCCAGCTCTCTGCTGTGGCCCGGGAGTGCAGTGGAGGATGACCCAGGTCCTTGGGCCCTGCACCCCATGGGAGACCCGGGGAAGCACCTGGGAAGCACCTGGCTTCGGATCAGCAGCAGCCATTGTGGGGGGTGAACCAACAGAAAAGGAAGACCTTTCTCTCTGTCTCTCTCTCTCACTGTCCACTTTGCCTATGAAAAAAAGAAAAGAAAAGAAAAGAAAAGAAAAGAAAAGAAAAGAAAAAAGAAAAGAAAAGAAACCTGTAGATGATAGTAAGTTAGGTTGTTGATGTCTGCCTCCCATCGTCCTGTATATTTATATTTCAAGGCCAGCCTGGGCAGAAGCAGTACCTGAGCAGAGTCACTAATGAAGTCCCCCTTGCCTGCTGAGCAGAGCCCCCAAGAGCCTTTGCTTGTTCCTCCATTCTGAAGGTCTAGAAGAGCATGCTGATCGATGCTAAAGAGCTGAAGCGGCTCAGGTGTGAATTGCCAGGTGCTTAAGGGGTGCACTTTGAAGTACTTTGCAAATATACTACAGTACTGAGCACTTTCTAGTCTGTTTTGTTCACAGATCAGAATTTTGTGAGTAAAAGAAGCTTGCCAGCCAGGTAAAAACTTACCATAGCCTTGAGTTCTCTTTCCTGCTATAGGACCTTCACACTGTAACCTAGTTTTAAAGTAACAGGAGATTCTATTGCCATCTAGAAGCAGGGGAAACATTAACTAATCAAATTAGGGTCTTTTCAGTACAGTTTACTATTTGGTATAAGAGAAAATTCATATAATTGTGGCATATTATTAGAGTCTAAAGAATGTTTCAGAATTCTAGTCATATAAAATTATCTTCTGTCAAGGATATTATTCATCTTATATTCCAACTGACTGGAAGCTAAAACAATCAAAATCTGTCCTTAAAACTTGGAAGGTAGGAATCAGCATTTTTGTCCGTGAAAAGCTTTTAAAGAGAGATGACATGCAATTCTGTGACACAGGCAGGCCGTGCCTGAGTTCACCTGCAGTTGTGGAAAGTCCCGTCCATGTTAACCACTTCTCTGCCTGAGAACTCTCTCTCCTGCTAGGAAGCAAGCATTCCAGGGCCCGCCTGGGCCCAGCCATGAACTGCAGTAGATTAATAAATGCTAACTAATAAATGCTAAACCGTTAACCAACTGGACATGGGATCCCACTGGTAAGTGTCTGAGCCTCCATATATCTTTTAGGTCTGACAATTCCATGTGTGGTCCATCTAGTTGCTTAGAAGATCCTTCAGTGAGATGGAGTTACAGATACCCAACAGCAAGACCCATTCATTAATGTACGTTTTATTGGCTGCTCACCATCCCCTCTGCCTCTCTTTTCCCTCTTTTTCATGTTAGCTTTCTGGTTTTGTCTTCCAAATAAATAGGCAACACCCTTGTCCTTGTCTCCTGTCTCAGGCTTTGCCACTGAAGGAGTCCAGATAGTGGAACGTAGCCTAAACCTTTTACTGTTTTAAATAAACTCATGTAAGAAAGCTCAAAGGAAGATTTGCAAATCAAATGCTTCAAGAAGCCAAGAGAGTAACATAAGAACCCCAGCTGGGTGACACTGCCTAAGTATAGTGATAGTGAGGACCGTATTGCAACTGGAACATGCACATCACGCTCCTAGGGACTGTACCTACTCAGAGCCAAATGAATACCTTACACTAGCACTGCTATGTCTTACAGGTTTCAGAGGTGACAAATTAAGCTTTTGCTTCAAATATGAAATATCTCAAGTGTAAAGTGCAATCCAGCCCATGGACTCTAAGAGCTCACCACCTCTCCCCGAAGAACTCTGTAAAATGTCAGTTCTGAAGTCAGGAGATGCGCCATGTGTCCTCCTGACAGTGATACCCTGCCCTGCCTTATCATCTTCAGTTCCTCTGCTGCGAAGTGGGGCTCACGGTTGCCATGAACCATCTCAACTGAGATTACATGTGCTGGGACAGCAATGAGCCAGAAATGTTCAGCATCTCTTGTTACTGCCTTTAACAGATTTGATGCATGTTTACCCAGAGCCTCTGAGCTCAGTCAGGAAGCATCCAGGAGTAAAGCAGAAAAATTGGAAGGTAGGAATCAGTCCCCTACACAGATGAAATCCCAACTAATAGGACTACTGAGTAATCTCTGTGAGCCATTGAGAATGGCCTTATCTAGCAGTTACAATTTAAAATTTTCATGAGCAGTATTTTCCTTGAAAAGCTAACAGGTGAGTGTTGTTCTAGTGAAAGCAACACTTTTCTTTTTTTTTAAGATTTATTTTATTTATTTGAAAAACAGAGTTACAGAGAAAGGTAGAGACAGAGAGAGAGGTCTTCCATCTGCTGGTTCAATCCCCAGATGGCTGCAAAGGCTGGAGCTGCGCCCATCCAAGGCCAGGAGCCAGGAGATTCTTCTGGGTCTCCCACATGGGTGCAGGGGCCTGAGGACCTGGGCCATCTTCTACCACTATTCCAGGTCACAACAGAGAGCTGGATAGGAAGAGGAGCAGCTGGGAGTAGAACTGGCACCCATATGGGATGCCGGCACTTCAGGCCAGGGCTTTAAACTGCATGCCACAGCGCTGGCCCCAGTGACACCTTTCATATTCCACTGTTGGTTTACTAGGCTGCATGCTTGTCCCTGCTTTGCTCCTTCTTTATTCCACCTCCTTGTCTCACCCACTCAGTGTTGCTAATCAGTGGTCTCATTTTACTCAGCACTTGTACTATGACTACCTAGTAGAGGAAAGATCAGTGTGGCAGGTGGTTAATCACATGTTCTATTATTGGAGCTGAGGGTAGACTCATGTTCCCAGAGCTAATAACTATGAGTTCAATACAGGTTTGTCTCTCTCAACATTCCACTTCTGAATGTATGAGTGTCTGTCAAGGTGGCGTAGGGAACAACTGGCCAGCAGGTAAGGTGAATACCATATCGGATCTAAGATTTGGGGGGGAAAGTTAATTTGTTGTAGAAAACATATAGATTTTATGCAAAAACTAAAACAAATCCATATACATGCTGAAGATGAAGCAAAGTAGAGAAACCTATAGTGGAACTGAGTTTGTAAGAAGTCACTGAAATTATTCTCCTAAGTTCCTGGATTCGCACAATCAGAACTTTGGAAAAGCGCTTTGGGTAAAACACCTGCCCACACTTGAATCTTCACCGGTAGCCAAGATCTCATTTCTAAATTGCAAACTGGTATCCAACTGCCTACTTGTGTCTCCTCTTGAATGTTGCACAGGCAACATGGACCCAACCTGCCTGATTCCTGGCTCATCCAGATCCTCACGTGGCAACTTGCTCTCCCGACGCATTCGCTTCCTCACTTGATGAAAACGTGACTCAATCTCGCATATGTAATTAGCACCAAGTCTTTTCCACTCAAATTTATTTCTCATCATTTCATTCAACTTCTCCTCTGATCTCCACCACTATTGTCTAATTTAGGATCATTATCTGTCATTTGTATTTTTTCAAGAATTCCTGAGGTACCTGCTTTCAATATTTTCAGCCATCAATGGATCTTACCAAATGATCCAAGAAGCTTTTCTAAACATAATTATTATCATGGCATTTACATGTTTGAAATACTTTATGGCTTTCCAAAACTTACTATAAAATCTTAACTAGCTAACTTGGTAACCAAGGATCTTAATAATTTAAGTCTGCCTATACAACTTAATCTCCATTTCATTTCTCAAATCCCCTGTATACTCAGGTCATGCTGTGATACATTTCCCAAGAGACTCCATTTTACAATACACCTTTATCTTTGCTACTTACCATCCCTATCAGCTTACAAATTGCTATTTGTATTTCATTGGTTAGTTAAATGATCTTACCAAGGCCCTTTCGCATCCTTTTCCCAAGTTCATGCTACTGTGAGAACTCTTTCTTGTACTGCTCATACACTGAAAGAATTGAAACTATCTAATTCCTCAGGACTTTAAGAGCTTCTGAAGAGTAACAACTGAACCTTTTACATCTTAAAATTCCCGGCATCAGGGCTAGAGCTGTGAAGTAATAGGCTAAGCCTGTGCCTGCAGC